AATATTTGCACAGAGATATTCAGAAAGCAAGGCCTGTGTCCTCTGTAAGCAAGACCTCAGTTCTGAGTGGAGAGAAACCACTGTGTGTCTAGTTTCCGCTATTCGAAACCTCTGGGAGTCTTGGCAGCCAAATTCTTTGCATTCCTGAGTATTTTGTGAGCTTGGTGTTCTGAAGCATTCTTGCTTTGATCATAACTTTTCTTTGCCATTAATTCTTGGACACTCTCAGCCACACTGTTCAGAGTGTAATGAGCATGAACCTGTTGGGATAATAGGCCGTTTAGTTCCTTTAATCTTGAGGCAACGTCTTTCCTTGTTGCCAATTGTGAAAAAGAATAAAGCGCATGCCTGCTAAGGCCTTTGGAAGTTGCCTCCTCCTTCCTCACTTATGTGTATGGCTTTGTGTGTTAAAGGACTTTAGTTTAAGCTTTTGAACTAATGAATCTCCTTCACCACAATTTCAATAAAGTCTACCTCAATTGGTTCACCCAAACCTGGATAGCAGGTACTTTAGCAAGTGTTTGTTGTTGAAATATGAAGCACCGGGGCTGCGTCCCCAACACCCCAGCCGCTTGCTAGCCTATGCCCGAAATAACAACACACAAACTGTATTCATTTAAAGAACTGCTTGGCCCATGAACTCTAGCCCTTACAGGCTAATTCTCGCACCTGGACTAGCCCATTTCTAATAATGTGTGTAAGCACCCCAAGGTGCGCTTACCGGGAAGATTCTAGCCTCCGTCCATCGTGGATCACAGCTGCCTGGGAGAGCTGAGCATGGCGTCTCTGCTCCAGCAGAGCTGTCCGGTCTCTCCGGAAGCAGAGCAGAGTCTGACCTCACTTCCTCTTCCGCCCAGAATTCTATTCTGTTTACTCCTCCCATCTATGTTCCAGCCATGAGGCCAAGCAGCTGGTTTATTATAACTTAACCAATGAAATTAACAGATTGATATATGACACTCCCACATCAGTTTGTGTTTGGGGAGTTGTTTGTTTGGGAAGAAATCACATCTCACTTCCTTTTCAGACACCTTTGTCAAACTCCTCCTGGAAGAGCATGGCTGAAGCTTCTGGGTGTAAGGAAGAGTGGCAGGGAAACTACTCCATGCAGTAGTAGATGGCCGATGCCCTCGGGCGCCCATGGGGTGTTAGAAGACTTGGAAAATCCTATCTTTAAGATTTTGCTAAATTTGATCCTTTTCTGTATCATAGTCTGTTTGTTCTTGGAAATTTGTTCAGAAACTTCGTGTTTGGCCAACTACGTCTCCATTTAAAATATCTAATAGGCCCATGATCCCATCACCTATGTAAGGATCAGTTTGACATACAGCCCCTTTCGATGTATTGATTGCTACAAGAATTTTTAGCTCCAGGTGATAGCGGGAGGCTGAGTAACCTCTTACTTCCTCCTGCTCTTGTCCCAGACACGAACCAAAGTTCAATTGCAATAAAGTTCATCCTGCGGAACCAAAGTTTATCAGTGCTACAAGCTCAGGTGACCATAAACAGACACAAGATAGGATAGATATGGAGTATTTTATCTGAATTTGTCAAACTCAAATGGACTAGACATTGTTGATGTGTTTATTGCCTGTGTATATTGTATGTAGTTATTGCACTTATTGTATATAGATTATATTATATTATATTAGTTATAGCCTTCTTTTTTATTTTAGACAAAAGTGGAAATGATGTGGGTTGCCCCTCTATATGCTGTGAATATGTTTTATTACCATTGGATTAATAAAAAAGCTGCTTTGGGCTATGGCAGGGCAGAATATAGCAAGGCAGGAAATCCAAACAGAGATAGGGGAGGGAAGAAGGCAGAGTCAGGGAGAGGAAACAAGACAGGTAGAAAATGAGGTAATACCACAGCCACATGGCAATACATAGAAGAATAGAAATGGGTTAATTTAAGATGTAAGAGTTAGCTAGAAAGCCACCTGAGATATTGACCAAACAGTGTTGTAATTAATATAGTTTTTATGAGATTTTTCTGAGCAGCCAGGAAATGAAATGCAGTCTCTGTCTGTACCCTGGGATGTGTGCAGTAGAATAATCCCTCAACATCTAAGGATGTGCATGCTTGAAAAGACTAGAAAAGTCAAGGATAAACTCTCAGAAGGAATTCGAGGAAAAGGTTTTTAAACATTAACATTTCTAGAAATTGTTCATTGCCAAAACATATCATTTCTTCTGTCTTGCTTTCTCTAGGGTTCCATTATGCGCAGCGGTTCAGTAATAACTGTGTAAAGTTGTGGGCAGCCAGGGAAGAGCCTCTCATCCCTTGATTTCATCCCACACAGACTACACTTCTTACTTTAATATTTACAATCACTTTATTGAATTGAAAGTGAATGCTTCTTTGTTTTCTCAAGACTTGGCTATGCTCCTGTGACTTCTTGTGTAACATGAATGGTAAAAACCCAGAGACAGATATTGGGGTTCAGTCTGAAAACCAGAAATGCAAAGCAGCCAAGCCACTAAAGAAGTCTTACCTCTCCCAAGACTGGGCAACTGCAGGCTAAGCAGACTAAGCTGACAGAGTTGCTCTCCCCTCCCATTTTATATTCCCTCTAGTATTGGGATTAAAAGTGTATGACTCCCTAGAACTGAGATTAAAGGTTTGGGGCACCACCACCTGGATTTGTTTCTGCATCGATCTTGTATAGCACAGGGTGATCTTGAACTCACAGAGATCCATCTGCCTCTGCCTCCCAAATCCTGGAATCACAGGTGTGTGTCAGCATACCTCTTCTAGTGGCTTAGCTTTTCCCTTCTGATCTTGAGGCAAACTTTATTTATTAAAACACAAATAAAATATCACTATAATCTTGGATATTTTACTCACCGTGGTTGAAGTTTTGAGTATTCTTTCCATGACTAGAATTTTCACAATACATAAAAAAGGGTGGACTGTGACCAGTCCCCATCTTCAACCCATCTCCTGGAGGCATACTGACCAGATACACACAAAAAGCAGCAAATAACTATTGATAAATTCAGTTAAGATCCACGAGAACAACACACATGCCCAAGTGTTACATAATTTTAAATTGTACTGATGTATAGGAATCTTCTTTATTTCCCAAAACGAATTGCTAATAATAGATTCGGTTAGCTACAATCACAGTTTAGTCAATTATAAAATGATGGTATCGCCTCTCTCCCCACTTCATGTTGCACTAGAAAATGGACAGTCTGCAGCAAATCAGAGTTTTACCAACTGCATGGTATAGGTCATGAAAGGAATCCTATTGGCTTAGGACCCCCAAAGTTCTCAGCACAGAGGAAACTTATTTGCCGCAGAGGGACAGAGGGCAGGGATAAGGGATAAAGGCAGCAGATAGAGGAAGGGACCAAGGGAGAGGAAAGGAAAGGGACAAAGGAGAGGGATAAGAGGCATTTGTCCCAGGGAGACAAAGGACTGTCTCTGGATAGAGAGGAAATAGACATAGCACATAGGAAAATATATAAACCCCTATAAAGGTAAAATGGTAAACCCTGTGTTCAGATAAGGTGTTTAACTTTAATTAGGCATGCTAATTAGGTGAACCAAAGGGGGCTTTTGATTTCTGAACTTCAATACTTTGATGGCTGGACCTTGATAGTCAGTCTCAGGAGGAGGAGAAAGTGGTCAAATAAGGGAACAGACCTTGGAGGCTAGCTTCAGAAATGTAATCTAACGGTTCTTTAGCAAGGCAGAAGGAATCAGGGAGAAGAGAAAGACCTGCCAGAGGTATGTTTGCCAGGCCCATGCTGGCTAGAGTTCCTTCACGTCAGCAGAATGAATACTTGGCCCCTGTTAATATTCGTTCATGTACAAACACAAGGATATTCTATCTTGTAAGGAAATAGTGTGGGTGGATGTACACAATGACACGGGAACTTCGTGTTCACATGAAAATGAGTGAGCCGAAATAGATGAATTAATGTATTCGAACAGATGTGTCAGTGTTACTCTTTGAGAAAGGCTGATGTAAATCCTCCTACAAAAATTCTTCAGCCAATTTATTTTAGTGTACCGCAGAAGAGATATTATATTATAACAACACGATGCAAAGGCAGCATGCCTTTATATAATCTTGGCAGTTCCTTCAGTCTTGAGCCTCATTATCATAGGCTTGATGTACAAAGGATCTGAAGTCAGCTTTGTTCATGAGGCCGGAAATCTGAGCTTCCATGTCTTCTCCATGTCGTTTCCAGATCTCACCTCAACACGACACCACCCGAAACATATTAGAATATGGTATCTATATGATAGAGGCTGAACTTAATGAATCCTGCTGTTATCCTAAACATAGCTGTTCCTCATGGAAGCTTCAAGCTTTCCTGCACAAGGATTTTGATTTTGACCTCATTATCCCACTGCTCCAGACATCTGTCCTTGACCCTTCCTGTGGGCTTTACAAGCCAAGATGCTAGACCCCATGTAACATACTCACTCCATCCATGAATAAACTACCCATGATTGAGATGTCACAATGATTGAGATGTTGTTTACTACACATGCTTTCCATCTCTGCTCCTGTGACTCATGAACACAACTTAAATTAATTGGTCATGTTGCACACTCTTTAGGATTTGAGACTGTTGTGGTACTGGACATCATTTTGATGATGTTTGTCATGGCAAGGCCAGTTCTTTCTCTGGCATCTCCTTCCCTTAAGGGCTTGCTATTGATTCCCCAGCTGATCTCAGGATTTGACTTCTCAATTATAAGCATCGAAACATAGAACAAGGGCAGTGGGTGCAAATTAGATGAAACGTATTTTAATTTTCTATAAGAGCATATTAAATTACCCAAACATTCAAATACAGACTGTCATCTGTTAGAGTTACAGTGAAACACATCCTAATGTTATATAAAGGTCTATGTATACAGGACCAATGGAAAAAGGCTATTCTTCAATCTCCATTCAAAATTATATAATAGATGCTTTCCCTCATAGATGAAAGGATATGCTGTAGTATGATGGTATAATAATAGGAAGGCAACACAATGAATAGTTTTACCTTTAAAACCTTTTTTTTTTTTACTTTTAAAGTTATGTGCATGTATGTGTATCAGTGTGTGGGACTGTGAACAGGTTAGAGTGGGTGCCCAAGGAGTCCAGATAAAGGTGTCAGACTACTTAGAGTGTGAGTTACAGGCAACTGTTAGCCACACATTGTGGGTTCTGGGAACTTAGTTAGGGTCCCCCGAAAGAGCTGCATGGGGTCTTAGCCACTGAGCTATCGCTTCAGACCCCAGTGATTTTACTTTTATCTTTCGAAACTCATATTCTATTTAATTCAATATAGATTCTCTATTTATAATATATCTCTCAAAATATTCTTTGTCTTGCTCATATATCTCATAGCGCATGTAGCTAGCAGTAATGTCCAAGTCTTGCAGCACACATATAGTGTGTCTAGATAGTACTTTTCTAAATACCTCACCATAATTCCTCCTTAGTTGTCATGGTTCTCTATGAGAGAATATGATAAAGACATAAGAGATAAAGAATATTTGAATTATCCCCATAGTGCGGCTAGGAAGGGTCACAGTCACTAAGGATGTTTAGGTAGTCATGATGCCAGATCTCGAGTTTGAAATTTTGAGCAACGTGTCACACACCTGTCACCCTAAATGAAACCACACTGCCACCTTATCAGCAGCGACAACACCTGCAAAAATGCAGTCCCTCTGTAGACTATACTGTGAGTGACGCTGCTCACTTAATTTCTCCCTGCCCAATACATACCCTGTCCCCTTGCAAGCATGCCGTCTAGGGATCTATCAGCTTGGTCTGACAGAATAGTAGCTTTCTTTTCTCTCAAGAGCACTGACTTTGTTAATGTCTTTGATTACTTGAGCTGCAGTATTTTCACTGGGAAAAAATGGCAGTAAAACTTCTTGCCTTTTGTAAGTCTCATATTTTAAGGATCAAACAAGGACGTGCAAAGGCTTTTACAAAACAGAAAACACATCCCAATGGTACGTTTTCAGCTGGGTATGGTGATGCACACGTTACCCAGCACCCAGGAGGCTGAGGCAGGAAGACTGAGAGTTCAAGGTCAGCCTGGGTTATATACTGATGCTTTAACGTGAAAAAAAGAAAAAAGTATTTATGTTCATATAATTATGATCAAATATGTAATGTCTTAGGAGGTTCTTCCAGGCAAGGTTTCAGGATGGGTTCTATTCGTTGAAGCTGTCATCGACTCTTAGAAGTGTTTTCCAAACTAAAATGAGTTATTGAGAGAACTGTTAGCATTATAACATTTGTAATAGAAAGGATAGCATTTGCCATATGTTCAAAATATTCAGACTTCAGGGACACAGAGCAATTGTGAACATGGATCCAACAGGAGCCGCCCTAGGCTGTGTTTGCTCTTGGCTGCCTCTCTCGTCTCTCAGTCATTTCTTCACCTCTTTCTTTTCCTCTGTGTGTTTCTGGGTGTTCCCATTCTCTGAGATCTTGGCTGGCATTTGGCATAGTGCCCTGGTTTGTAACTGTATCAAACTGATCAGCTTTCCAAATACCCTATGTCACATCCTCAAAAGGGACTCTGACTAGTTTAGTAACCTGGTAAATGTCAAAGGTTTAAGAAATTTCTCCTGTTGAGCTGAACTGAATAAGGCATTCACGAGAGACCTGACTTTGATGTCATCATTTCCTAAGGACACCTGGCACAATTAGAACTTTCCCCAGAGATGGAAATCGGAAGTTCACAATTTGGCTAGCAGACGTTTGTAGGACAAAAAAAAAAAAAAAAAAAAAAAAAAAAAAATCTAGGTTAGACATTGATTAATTGTCAACACTTAAGAATGCAGAGTTATAAAGTTGCAGCTGTCTGACTTCTGTTCAAATGTCAGAACACTGGCTGGCAGCGGTGCTGGGTCCTGTGTGGCCGCAACGGCGGTAGCTAATGAGGGGCTGGTTCCTTCAAAGGGCAGGCTGTGCTTAGTGGCTACGGGGCCTCGGCCCTTCAGGTTCATCTATTTATGCCGTCTCTCTGGACTCGGTAGGACATGGGCTTGTGACTCCTGGTGAATTCACTGAACGAATGTCAGTAAATCCCATCTCTCACGCAGTTAGTCACGGGTGACGTCATGAGCAGATGGCTTGAGGAGAACATATGCCGCCGATCTGCTTCTCTTAGCTCACTAACGGCTTTGCCAGCATTTTAAACAATTGCGTCGTGTGTCCCAACCTGTGAGTGGAGCATCAGTGTAGAAGGAGATAAGCTGGAGATTTGTTCAACTGTTTATTTTCAAATGCCAGACGAGAACAGCTTCGGGCTTTGATCTGCAGCTCGAGATAGCATGCTGCCAACTCGGTAACTGAGGAGTCTGTACACATTCCAAATGCTGTGCCTGGCATAGCCCTGTGATGTCAAAATAGCAGGAAGGGCATCCCCAGCAACGTTAACTTACAGAGCGTGAAAGGCCTCCCGTGAAATCTCTCCAGGGGTGACATATTCGTTGGAAGGGGCGGGGCCTTGGAGAGAGTCGCACTTTAACACTTTTATAGAGTTTTCTGAAGGCTTCCCCCCCCACCCCTATTCTCTTTGCTGAAGGTGAGAAATGTCTCCTTGAATACATTTATGATAAAAGATGGAGCCATTAATAGCAAGGGGCAATTTCACAAAAGGACTATCTAACACATGCTCTTTAGGAATAGCCCCCTCCCCCTTTCCCCTTTGGAGTTCTAGAGTCTTCCTTCATTAAATCAGAGGGCTAAATAGAAGAAAAAGACAAAGATCCCCAAGAATGTCCCAAACAAACATTATGTACAGAATTGACACAGAAGAAGAAGCTAGTGGATAAGGGATTCTTATGTCGTTTTAGCAAGGCAGTGTAGTTAGGGAGGCAGAGATGGATAGAAATGCTGGGAAGTCTAGGAAAAGAGTGGCTGCATAATGTGAGGGAAGTTATCTTTTCTTTTTGACAAACTCACAGACAAAATACATGGTAAGATGACACTCGGTGTCATTCCACCTGCCCGAGCTCAGCATCTCCACACAGTCCTCATGGCCATAGGGGTCGCTGGGCTCCCCCTCCTTCCAGTTGCTGTAGTTCTGCAGTGGGCTGTTGTCAGTGAACACGTGCTGTCCCTCCCTCTCAAGGTCGTTCACCCCAATGAACACTCGGAAGAAGCCGCTCTTGGCGACATAGTCTGCAATAAGTGTGTTAACAGCCTCGTCCTTAGGCATGGCTAGCATCCCTCCCCGGATCCTGCAGTGGGTCAGGGATTCCCTGTAGTTCTTCTCCTCCTGCACGATGTAGTAAAATTTCTCCTCAGTTTCTCGGATCCCTGCTATAACTGAAGGGAGGAGAGGAAGAATATCATAATCAAGATAAGAAGACGCGAGTACCTATCTAATGTCAGATCTTAATGCACTTGCTCAGCTTCAAGAGCTGTTTTTGCAAGGTCATAATGAGGTAGTCACTTAGTTTATTTCTTCTGTGCCTTTCTGTTTATCAAATGAAAACAAAAGTCTACCATTTTGTCCTCTGTTTCCTTCCTCCTTAGCTTCCCATACATCTTTGTCCAATAGCAACTCTGGTAACAAAGTTCAATTAACATGAGTTAATACCCTGGAGCATCTCACGATTTTTTTTCAACCTAGTTTATGTTTCAGGTATATTTTGTCCCCCTTTCTTCTACATCCACACCTTTCATGTCTGGGAAGACCCTGATGATCATTTAGATCTCAGAGAAAATGAATTTTCCTACATAAAGTTTTTTCAATGCCCCCTGCTGGACATGGAGTCTTCTATGTTCCCACTGTCCCTTCCAATCTCATCTCTTTTATACAACTCAGAACATTCTACTCTGCTTGCTTGTCTATATCTTCCCTTGAACTGTGGATGTCTTGAGGTCTGTGCCCATGTCTGATACTCTGCAATCCAGTGCCTAGAATGGTCTAAGAAATGACAAATGCTTATTAAAAGTAAATTCAATGTACAGTCTGGGAATCATAAAGTTTTTCCACTTTAGGTCAAGTTTCTAGGATATGGACATACACAATGACTGAGATTTTCCACACAGCTGTAAGTGAAACTTAGCTACTGACTGAGTTTCACGATACAATCAGGTATTGAAAATCATCTTCAACTCATAATATGATCTTTGTGCTTTTGGCTTCATTTTGGGATCTTTAACTTCATCACAAAATCTGTGGCCACTGAAATGTTGGTTCTGATGTATTCAAGATACTTCTGACAGTCTGAGTTACGTAAGATATAGAATTTTATTTTTAAATTTGCGTGTGTGTGTGTGTGTGTGTGTGTGTGTGTGTGTGTACAGGCCATGCTTTGTGTAGGTGCCCATGGAAATCAGGAGATGGTGTCAGATTCTCTGGAAGTAGAGTTACAGGCAGTTGTGAAATGTTTGACCTGAGGGCTAGGTACTGAAATTGGATCCTCTGAAAGAACAGTATAACCGCTGAGCCATCTCTCCAGCCCAAAGATACAGAATCTTATGTGTGATTTACAACTAGAACTTAAAACCAATTAAGTTGAGTAGTTAAGCGTTAGCATTTCCTAGACCTCTATCATGTTGCCTTTGAACACACGATGGCATTTGTGTGCTTCTGTTAATGTGCAACACATTTATCTAGATTACACTAAGTGAAAGTCCAGCCAGCTGAAATCAGTCATAGTAGTTTTTGCATCAGTTTCTTCAATAAAACTGTCTCAACAAAGGCCTTTCCAATTTGAAGACTTTACTGCTTTTTAATGTGAAAAAAAAATGGACAAGGGACAAGAAAAATGGCTTAGTTGAAAAATTTATAGACACACATAGGATCTGTACTGAATGTATTATTGGAAGAGGAGTCAAGAAAACCCTTCTCTGCTACCAGTATCCATATGCAAGGCATTCTACAAGCTTTGGTTGCCTCACAGCACTTGCTACATAATAATGAAAAATACTAAATGTTATATTTTCAGTGGTTATGTGCTATCTCAAGTACTCTAGGAAGTAGCCATTGCTGCTGTTCATCTTTTCTGAGATGCTGTTTCTCTTTGGCTCTTGTGTCCTATTGATGCAATTTTAGGATATATGAATCATATTGTAGTACAAATTTTTATCTCTGATCAAGATATTTATATATATATTATTTGCATTTTGAGTCTATTGTCCTCATTTGCTGCATATTTGTTTAAAGATTGTTTAGTATTTTTCATTTGAAGCCTTAGTCTTTAAGATCTAGAGGTATTAAGAATTACAGGTCAATAGTTGCCAATTTTTGTTATACTTAGTCTGGTCAGGTTCTTTAGATGTATAGAGATTGTATTCTGCATAGACAGGTATCTTCAAACACGTCAAAGAACTGTGGAATATGGCATTTAAATAACTTAGGGTTCTGTTGACATGAGACACAATTGCTTTTGGCAGCACCCATCTATTCCTGGGAGAATGTTGGGCACTGAAGATATTCATTCCACTTGGAACTTATTTTCTTCTTGGCAAAACTGGCCTTTGGGCAAAGAACTGTTCTTGCCTCAGCTACTGACAAAATGCATGGTGTCCAAACTGGATAAACAGGATACAAGCAAAAAGGACTGCCAAACTTTGCCAAGACGAGATAAGACAGTTTTTCAAATTTTCCTGCCTCTGAAAATGGTCTGTCATCTAGGTCTTAGCCAAAGTTGATTGCCTCAACACTGCAAATGAGACTTTGGGGATTGCTCAAGTAGCCAGTTGTCTCTGTAATTTCTTGTACCTTTTGGAAGTTGTTTGAATGTACTTCCTGTTTACTTAGGTAATATTATTTCCCTTCTCAGGTCTTTGATGTGGTTAAAGACGAGATAGTCATAGTTACTTTCTTCTCATGACATAGTCAAGCCACTTGCAATATAAGACTTCAATTCCTTAGGTTAAGATAACTATTGAAACATTTAGCATACATTTCTTGTTTGATGTTGTTCATTGTAACTTTTATGTATTTTTTTGCCGATTCTTTTCCCTGTATATTTGTTCTTATTGTATATAGTTTCATATTAGGTTTAGAACTCTCTTATTTAGATAAAAGGGGGAGGTGATGTGGAAACTCCTTCAACCAATAGCCTATAAGATACTGGAACACTTTGGGCATGGTCTCATGTACTATAAGTGCAGATGAAAAACATGTGTGGGCTTTTTTTGGGGGGGGGGGCTGGATTTGGTTCCAGTTCCTAGCACATTCAAAGGACTGTGGACCGCTACCCTTATGGTGAGTTTATCCCCAAGTAAATAAACCTGCATTATACTCCATTTCAGACTATTGTGGAACTCTTTGATAACACTACAAAAGTGTCTCTTTATTCTTTTGGCACAAATTGCCCAACTCTGCTCTTTTCTCCTTTTCCTTGGTAGACCAGCCTGACTTCATTTTAAGAAGCCATCTTGTTACAAGGTCAGAATAAGTTCATTTTTTTTTATATATAAAACTTGGATTTGACCAGGTCTTGACCCATTTTCCAAAATTTAATGTGTTCAGCACCCTATACCCTAATCTCCACTCTGATAAGATACGATGTTCTGCCACCATTTAAATGCTGTTCTACATAGCTAACAAAAAAAAAAAAAACCAAGCAAACAAACAAAAAACAAAACAAAACAACAACAACAAAAACCTTGGAAATCCCCTAGCTTTGGAGTTTTAAGGCTATAGAAGCCCTACTTTTTCCTATGTTTGATGCAATTTTCTCAAACCCCATTTTATGAAGATAGTCCTGTTAGAAAAATTAAACTTGTTTAATTTGACCAAAGAAGTTAAGGAATGGTCTTTACTCCCGTTTGATGCGATTGACACCCTCTTTTAACAAAGATCCTTTCCCCAACAATATAACACACACACAAGATTGAATCTGTGCAGTGAAGTGAAAAAGTCCTGGAATTTGAGAGGATAATCAATATTTTGAGAGGCTTTTGAATTGTGATACTTGCTTGAGTCAGGTATTTCCTGCTAAGGAATGCAGTGTTGAAAGACCAAATTGAAAAATAGGAAACAAAGCAAAGAGATAACTGTGTTTACCATTCTTGATGAACTTCATAGATGTCTTGAGGCGAGCGACACTAATATCCAGTTGTCCGACCACTTTCCGGTATCTCCCACAGTCGCAGATGGTGCCTTGTGAATTACAAGAGCTGTGAATTCACACTGAATCACACGAAGACCCACTGGAGAGAACTTTTCCTCTCTTCTCAATGTTCTCTATAATTTTCTAGTTCAGTTGCATCTCTTTATGAGCCACCAAATGTTTAACTTTTCATTTAAAACAGGGTTTTTACTTTATCTTTAAGAATTCATAAAGTATCTCAAAAATATTTGAAATGAGTTAAGAAAAAAAAACTTTAAATGAGAGTTTCACAAGGAATGATTGAGACCAGCTTCTGTGCGCTGTGCACACACCGTGGGCCATTTGCCATTTTTGTTGAGTACAGAAATGGTCGGCTCAACTTCAGAGGAAATTTTTTGCAGCGTCCTTAGAACACATTTGCAGCCAGGCCTCTCGCCTGCTACTGCATTATTCACGAGCTCACACAGCTCTCCCAAGATAGAAGAAACTTTTCAGGATTCAACCACATGTTAACTCTGATTATCCACGTAAAATAAAGCTGTCAGGTTTCAAAGGCTACATCTAAATACTGTGAAGAGATGCAGTTTCAGTTTTAAAAGGCAGCTGTCTAGTTTACGGGGTAACTATTATTTTAACGTGTTATGCAGCTGCCTTTATTCACCCAGTGTTTTAACTACGTTGTGTTTGAGCGAGGAGGAGCAGAGTCCAAGAAAATGGTGGTCAACTCAAATGACTCTCTCTTTTATTTCTGTTTAACGGGTGCTGTGTGTAGTTTTCCATTTCTTTATTTCTTGGCAGTATGAGAAGATAAATTAATCTTATTAGCCAAGTGGAGGAATAGCTTGTTCTTTAATTGATCCATGTATGCAGATAAGCACAAGAAATAGACAATTCTCTGGGTCTTCACTAGCTCATTGTAAATAGACACAACTGGAATTTTCCCCAAGCAACCTGCTTTACTTCCTCTTATCAAACATTACAAGCTGAGTTCTGTCCTAGCTCACTCAGGGCAGGCTCTGTATCTAGGTAGCCTAAAGGAGAAGGATAAGAGGCAACTCACAGACTAGTGTTTGGTTCAGATTCTCGGGACACAAGGCTTGGCTGCTGATGCAGCTTCTGGCGTGAACTTTTTCCTTGGTCACAGATGCTGAGCCCTACTCCCTGATATGCTGGGCTTGCCTCTCACCATGAGCATGACGGGGATAGAATGTGTGCCCTCATTTCCTTCCCTGGGGTTTGGAAAGTCACCAGTGAGAAGACAGGAGAGTTCTCATTCTCCAAGTCCTCCATCCCATAGAAACAAGGATGAATGCATGGAAAAGGGCTCTGTTTTCTTTAAAAAAAAACAGGGTAGTTTTGAGCTGGGTACATTTGGAGTGGTGTCATAAATCAACAACATCATCAACAACAACAACAACAACAACAACAAAAAAAAACAAAATGAGCATGCCATTCCTACCTGCCTTGCCTTTTTCTCCAGGAATGCCAAGCAGACCCTTTTCCCCTTTGTCACCTAAAGAAAAACAGCAAAAACAAAAAACAAAGGCACAATAAGTAAACAGTAAGCAGTTTGAAGCTGACAAAGCACTCCGTGTCTCTAAACCCAGAGGAAATGGCCTCCAGAATGCCATTTTCATCATCTCCGACTGCTATCCCTTGGCTTTTTGTCACTGATTTGCTTTGGGTTGTTCACAGGCACAGACAATCAGGTGAGCCACAATTTACTAAGATTGATCACTGAAATTCTTGCAGGATATGTAAAGAACCTTTGAGTTTGTGGTGCCCGTCTCACCGCTAATATGGCCTGTGCCTTAGCAACAAGGCCAATACAACGCACAGCCTAATTTTAACTTTGAAAATACAATTGCCTTGCAAATCTGTATTCACGAGTTACCACATTGAGCCGCCTGTAGTTACTATTTTTCCAGCCATTGTATGTGACTTTGACCTTGGTTTAAAAAGAAAAAGCACAGATTTACTTTTTCAGATAAATTCCACAAATATTTGCCGTTTACTTTGTGCAAGACTAATGGCTAGGCACTTGGAGAAAATGCACAGAAGGACAAGATTAAACCACCGACTTCAAAGCATTTGCAGTTTTTAGTCAAGAAGCGACACATGCAAGTATCTGCCCTGCAAAGGCACTTCACATTAGACTGAAATGTCAACCCTGGTAATTTTTCTTTCTGTTCTTCTTCCCAGGAGACCATTATCTTACTCATTCAGAGGCTTCCAAAAAATGATTCTCAAAGAAGTAGGCTTTTTGAAACAGAGAGAAAGAAACAAAAAAAAATGCTTTCTTTTAAACTTCAAAATAACTCCTGAAGTCCACATCAGACGCTGTAATTGACAGGAAAAAGCTTTTGATTTACGAGAGAAAATGTTTGGCTGAGGTTCTTGAGGATCAAAAGAGAAGACATTGAGAGGAGTGAAATAAAGTTTCATGCTTCAGTGGTGATCTGGCAGTATAAGAAAAAAAATTATGGAGGATAAACACAGGCTGAAGGTCACCCAGGCTCAAGAAGGAGTCCTATATGGGTAAGAAGTAAGGGAAGACAGGAGGCTGTGTGTACGATCCAATAGAACAAAGTAAAAGACAATGACATTCTGCTTGATGTCATCCTTCACAAGGCCACTCTAAAGCTCACAGGGTCCCATATGTCACTCGCTCCAAGGGTGTCACCCATGATTCTCACCACAGGCTGTTGGATGCTTCTAAGAGCTTCTTATATGTTGAAGAAAGTATGTTCATTAGGATCCCACGGTTTTTCCAAGCCTTTCTAAACTGATCTGTGCAGACATGTTCTTCACAGTGATATCAGACATCGAGGTGCTTGCCTAACAGAAGGAAAGAGGCTCTTGACCTCCTGAGTGCTGTTTAAGTTGAAAGCAGAAGTCTCAGAACCTGCACGTGGATGGTGCTGAACTCTGTGATCACATAGCATGGTAAGTCTGAGAGAGATACCTCAAACAAAGATAACATCCTTAAGAGAGAGTGAGAACAGAGAGGGCAGTAGGAGTAGGAAAGATGGAGTCCTGTGTGTGTAAGCCTGGCTATCAGCAGCTTCAGCAGCTGTAGATAAAAGAGCTTGGGCAACAAAGAGCGGGTGAGAAAGCGGTGTGAGAAGATGTCAACTGCCTTGTGAGGAAGCTTGCTCACATCTTAGCTGTTTCTTAAAGATCCCACAATTCCCTTGAAAATCACTTAGAGAAGAGAAAAAAGATAGTGAGACTATGTTAGCAGAAGAATGGGAGCATGCATTTACTAAACATAAATAAGTTGCCCACCATTCTGCATACGTCATTGGTGTTATATTAAATCCCACAAGGTGGGTGTACTGATTGCTTTCAGTGGGAAAGGATCATTGGTCTTAAGTAAAAACATTTATTTAGCCATGAGATTGGATTTACCTACACTAAATCATTCTTATTTCTTATTCTGAAAATGAAATATTGACATCTGGAAAGCTACCTTAACCATGCAGGTGACAGCATTAAGGTCAGCCGAGAAAGAAAGTTGACATTAATCCAAGTCAATGAAAAACTTCGCAGGGCCATGGCCAAATGAGGACAATACATTTCCAAGTGCTGATTGAAAATGAAATTAACCCAGGTGAGCCAAAACACTGTGTCTCCATTTTTCTTAAGACTTGCTCATAAATTTTGATGGCACATCTCTATAGGGGAAGAAAATCTCAGCAGTCAATGGTGGAACTGTTTGTGTAGAAAAGTGGTACTTAGAGGAACAAAGAGTAGAAAGATAAGGCTACCCTGTAGGAAACCGTATGTTGTATCATTCTAATGGTTTTTACCCATTTCTGTGTCTACCTGTGAATACCTAAGTGTGGGTAAAAGTGTGTGTTTCTGGGTCTGAAACCCAGACTTTGTGTTTACTAGGCAAGCTTGCTATCTTTGAGCTACATCCACAGCCCAGTTTTCTGTATTTTTGATAAAACAAATTACTAGAAAGTTTTTTTACTATGTTGTAGACATAAATGTAAAATTCTAGTCCTCAGTTGGTTTATAGATGTACACACACAGAGAAACTTTGTGGGCGTATGTGTATTTATGTGTGTGAGTATGGTGTACGTACACCTGTTTGTGTGGGTGTACATGTCTGTGTATGTGTATGCTTTCAGAAGCCAGAAGAGGACATTGTGTGTCCTGTTCTATCATTCTTTGCTGTGTTATTCCTTTCAGACTGGGAATTCCTCACTAGATCTGGAGCCTTAATGGTGACCAGCAAGCCTCAGTAATCCTCCCGTTTCCACTTTCTCCTCTCCTCATCATGACACCGTCTTTGAAAATTGGACTTCAGGATTTGAACCCTGGTCCTGGGCTTCTCCAGCAAGTGGTATTATCTATCATGTTTTCTTTCCAGCATCTTGTTCATATGCTTCGAGTCAAAAGACCCAGTAAGTGTTCATGTTTTACCCCCAGAAAGCAATCCTCAGAGGCGAATAAGAAGATGCGGCCTGGGAGTGAGTGCAATGATGGAGGCGCACGCTGAACACTGCAGACCTGAGGGTGAAGGGGAATTGATCTGAAGAAGGAAAGCTTCATTAGCACATCATTTCCGAACTTGATCATCAAACATTTCTGGACGTCCATCCGCTTTGGGGTGTAGTCGTACTGCAGATCCGTCACTTTTTTTTTTTTCTTGCTGTCATTTACAGCTGGGTTTCTTAAATTGTGGTGGTGAACACATTTGGGGTTACATGAGCAAATGTAGGTGTCGTACAAAACTTGACAAGAGAAAAGGGTTTCCGAAAATGCCAAGAGCAAAAGCTACTTCCATCATATAAAGAATCTGACGTGTTTGTGGCCGTGCTCACCCGTATTGCACCCCGTGACGTCACTGCAGCTTTGATGCTGAGCACACAGCAGGTACGCTCTGCACAGTGTCTTGTGTCATATTCTGAAACACCTTGCTTCAGACCCCAAAGGACTGCATGTTATGGGTTTCAGTGTTTTTGTTGTATATGAGAAGTTATATAAACATAATGTTTCCGGTGTGGAAACAAAGAGCAGATTTTCCTAGTGTCATTCCTTAGCAACGAAATATTAACTTAGTATAGCTTCTGCTTGTATAGTGTTAGAAGGTTTGATATTTAAAATTACTGTTTGAATTGTTGACTTGAGTTTCACGAAATATCATTGAAGTGAAGTTTGGCTTGGAATTTGGGCAAAATTCTCAACAATTCCTGAAATGACTCTAGACATGATTCCACCATTTGTACTGTATATATTTATGCAAAACAGCAAGCACCTTTACACACGAGCCAACTCAGTGGCTCAGTTATTATTTTTAAAACATAAATATCCAACTAACCCAGTACTATTTAGTGTTAGGTTGCAGGTTTTCCATTGAAAATCTGTATCAACCTTGCATAAACCATTTGGATGTTTTTGGATTCTATTCATTTCCATTGGTTTCTTTATTTTAATATTATATCAACACTATAATTTTCCAGTAAGTATTTTAATTTAGTGATTTGTGTCTTCTAACACTTTTTTAAATTATAAGACTGTCTTGAATATTCTTAATACTTTTCATTTATGCATACATTTTGCATTGGCTTACTGATTTTCGTAAGAATATTTCTGAGATTTTGATCAAAAAGCTATTGAATCCAAATATCATTTCTCCAGGCACTAACATATAAATAATATAGAGTTTTGTAATCTGTGATTTTGCTTCCATTTCCTCGGGTAACCTTTAATTTCATTACCATTGCATTGTGTTTGCTATGAAGAGTTTATATAAGTTTTACTAGATTTATTCCTAAGTACACAATAACTTTGATACTATGATAAATGGTATTATTTTAATTTCATCATTTATCATACAGAAATTAAATTGATTTTTATTTGTCTTTCTAAAAATCTTATCTATACAAATAACTTATCTTCAGCTTATTAGAATTTTCTGGTTATACAATAAATCATCTACATAGAGTGAATCTTAGTCTGTGTTCCCCTCATGTGTTTCCTGGCTCTTTTTCTTGAATTTGTACTCTTGCTAGAAGCTCAAGAGAAATGTTGGTTAGAGTTGATGCTAGGGGCCTATACTAATCTTGCTACTAATCTCAAGGGAGACATTTTCATTTTTTTTATTATTGAACATTTTTAAATAATTTTTTTCTTGTTGATATTGTCTTTTTGACCAAAGTATTTTCTTGTATTCTTGGTTTGTTATGTTAAAAAGCACAAATTGGTAAATGTCTAATTAAATGTTTTTCAGATTTTCTGGAGTTTTAATTAAAAATATGTAACATTTTCCTGGACTTCCTTCCATTCTTTAGCAATCCTTCAGAAACAACCGATTCTGAGCAACTCTCTATTTACACATCAGACTCTTGGCGCTTCTTTCCCCTGGACATAGAGCACTGTATTTGAACTGGCAAATACCCTGGGAAGAAAGTCGTACAGGATGCTCAACTTAACTTTAGTGGAACCCCTTCTGCTCTAGAGCATGGTTGTCATGCTCCTATTAATTTGGGCAGTTTTTTTCTCACCTTCAAATGTGTGTCTGTTCATTTTTTAAATCTAGTCAGTTATAATTTTCAGAATGTAACCTGATGCAGGCTGTAAAGTCTTGCCCAGGATTTTTGTTTCATTATTAATTATATTAGTGTGCTTCTATCCTTGCAACTTGTTATTGCCAAGATACGCATGTTCAGATTATCAGCAAGTTTGAGAACACAATCGGGTAAATCCTTTGTTTTGTGTACCTGAAATGTCTGGTTTGGAATACCCCCGAATATCTCTGGTCCTGTTTGTCAAACATTTTCTTTCCTTGTCTATGTCTCCACATTTCTTGTGCTGGATGTCCCTGGACACAGTCAGTGCTTTTGTTTCATGACTCGTATTGGCCTGCACAGTAGGGGGCTGGAGTATTCTTGGAGGCCATCCCTACAATGTACTTGTTAGTAGTAACTTAGCTGATTATGGAAGTAACTTCAAACTACATAAACGTATGACCTTAGGTCCAAACTAAATGTTTTTCTTCACTTAAGCCTTAGTTCACTCCCTGAATACTTGTGTCCACTCCCAAACCATCCAATACAAGAAGGAAATTAGATAGAGGGGAATTAGAGCTGGAGACAGCAGTCTTAACCCATGCTCTGTCAGTGATAACATTATCAATCACTTCAGGAATGCAAATGCCTTAGGGGTTGAAAAAGAGCATATATATGTATATATAATACACACATATGATATTCTTAAAAATTTTATATATAAATACATAATATATAAGCCCATTTATATTTTATATATAAATATGTATATGTTTATATAAATATAAACAAGTAATGTACATATTTATATATGTTATACTTATCGGAGAGGCATTCATTTGAAAATTTTAAAAATAGAGTATCACTATTTCAGATATGTCTGACAGATAAAATATCTTAATTTGCAAATTTTTTTTGCCAAGACATATGATCATGTAAACCTATGCTAGGCCTCCTCTAAAGGTTTGGGGAAGGGTCTGCTCAAATGAAGAGTTCTGAAGCCAACACCTCTCAGTTTTTGATAAAACCATGGAACTAAGGTAGCTTTCTCCATCTGCGAGGATGCCAGCCAGTGGTGAATGGGGGAAGAGATACTCCCATACACGTCTTCACAGGCAGCTGAAGGAAGCTCCCTAAGGAATCAAGTGTGGAAAACTGAGGTGAAAGAGATAAGAGGAAGTACAGAGCCTCCAGGTGAGACCGAAGACCACAGCCTCAGCTCAGATGCCACTTGGGCAACCTGCCTTGAAGAATCCAGCGGTGAGCACAATGAGGCACTTGCTAAATTCTTCAAGGGCTCAAGTGTTTATGAATGATGGGGAACACATAGAGGATGGCACTATCATAATATTCATGGCACTGAGCTTCTTCCGATCCGAGCCTTTGTAGAATTATTTCTTCCGTTTTCTCTCAAATGTCTTTTCCCGGTGCATATAAACATGTGGCCATTCCTTAAGACCCATTTCAGCTTCTCCCCACCTCCATCTTGTTTTCTTTTCTCATTTGGAGCCTCTAGTATACGTGCTGTTCAGGATTAGAATTCTTCTTGAGACAATCTTATCTTTCTGAGAGATCTCCGAGCTGCTGGCAATGCATGTTGATTCTCCTTCAGCTTTGTATTCCCAAGCAAGTGGAACAACGCCTGCATATGAGTTACTGAACAGGAGAACAATTGGGACTTGTTACCATTGTGAGGATTTATGAGAAGAGTGCAGGGAAGGAGAGATTAGGTAATAAAAAGCCACTATCTCTTTTCTCATATTGAGGCTGCAGTTAGAGCAGAACATGTCCGAAGAGGTGGGCATTTTTGTATATACTTCCATTTCCTATCTTGCTAATAGATTATGGAGACAGTATTATTCATTTCTCTCCTTTATACTCATTTATACACTGTGTTTTGGGAAAAATCATGACAGTATTTAAATCATAAGCCTTAGCAAGAGTTCATAGCTAACAATAGATCCAGATTCAGATACAGAGCCTACCGGAAGTTCATGCTTGATTCTGTTTTGAAGTCTTGTTTTATTTTGCTTCATATATTTTTCTGTCTGAGCTATGAGAGTTTACTTATACAGGACTCAAGTTAGGGAGACAGAACAGACGCTGCTTAAAAGAAAGAAAAGCCACCATTGTCATGGCATAAAATGTTTAAAATATGCTCACCGTGTGCTCCCTTGCTTTAATTTGCACTGAAAAGTAGCATGGCCTTACCTTTCTTGCCAATGGGGCCAGACTTGCCAATATTGCCCTGGGGTCCCATATCACCCAGGTCTCCTTTAACTCCTGAAAAGGAAAGCAATTTATTCTTAGAGCATGAGGTCTTTCCTTTAAGGATGTGAATAACATGATATTTAATCCAAGAAAACAGCAATATTCTACCTAAGAGACCTCATAGTGGTGGTTAGTTTTCTCAGCACATAGGCTGACCTGTGGGCATATCTGTGTGGGGTTGTCTTGGCTCTGTTCACTGAGTTGGGAAGACCCATTCATTGTGGGTGGCAGTATTTCCTGGGTTTGGGTTTTAGACTATAAACACACATAAGGAAAAGAAGGAGCCAGGCATACACACACTAGCATTCTTTGCTTTCTGTTCCTGACTATGGTTGCAATGTGTAAGACCCCCCCCCCACCACCAGCATCAGCTGCTGTCGCTTCCTGCCTGTGATGGACTGTAACACTGCACCCAAAGCTCTCCCCCCCTCAAGTTGCTCCTTCCCTTCAGAGTATTCTATCACAGTACCAGGAAGTGAAAGCAAGACACTAACTTGTATCCTCCGCTATGTGTGTTATATTTAAATAAACTTAGATGGTATCTATTAATTGAAATGTGAGGGATTCTGAAAATCCCGAGTTTGTTGGTGTTAAAATATTTACTCCAGCAATCTTCTCAAATGCCCATAGCAGGAGGGGTCGTAAAATAAAGGGTAGGTAAGCGGCGGGGTTTGTTTTAGATGTGTTCACTTCTAGGTACATTTCTGGCTTTGCTCTAGGATTGATTTCTCTCTCTCTCTCTCTCTCTCTCTCTCTCTCTCTCTCTCTCTCTCTCTCTGCTTTCAAACAAGATTGGACAGTTTTAGCTACTTCAAAAGAAGAAAGAGAATGTGGAGCCATAAAATCCAGTGGCATGGGAACCATTCGGTGAGGGGTGGAGCAATTCAGGTGTTTAGACAATACATGGCGGCCCAGGAGCCCTTTCTTTCTTTCTTTCTTTCTTTCTTTCTTTCTTTCTTTCTTTCTTTCTTTCTTTCTTTC